TCTGATCTTTCGAAGCAAAAACGCTTGATACAGATTAAATCCGAACTGCCAAGCCAGTGTTGAGGCAGCTGAATGCATATTCGTGTGTATATATGGATGCTGTGTCATGCTGTGTGTACATTTTGCGTCATGGCTCCGCGAGAGGCCTCGCCGGTTGGCCGCGTCAGTTCAGTCAACTCTAATAATACGCGTTTGTGGTTATGGCGATCGCGCACCAGCGGCCGCAACAAGATGGCAAGATGACGACGTGGTGGAAACAAAGTCTAGAACGGTAAAAACACAATAGGTATGTAGGTACATATGTACGGAGCACATACATTAGGTACCTAATGGAAATGAATTGTCGGGCCGCTGTGGCGTTGTGGCTGTGCAGCTGAACGGTTGACTCCCGAGCAGGGATAGGTATGTACCTAGGCACGTGCTGGACGCGTCGGAGCGAGACGTGGCTGGTGACGTGGCTTGTTGATTCGCCTCCATCGGACGACTTCCGCTTCCTCTCGCTTCCTGAGCCCCCGCTCCAAGTCCTCAACGCGACAGCGCACGGCGCGCGGGGAGGGGAGGGCATTCTCAGCCTCGCAACGCGGCACACGAGTGAGTGAGTGGCAAAAAGGGACGCGCCAATTTGTTGGTTATACCTAGGACTCTAGAAGAGGCGTGGAGAAAGGAGATTCATGTCCGCGATGCACGATAAAGAAGATGCTTTTTTTTCATTTCTTTTTTTTCTATGTTTTTGCCACCGATCAACCTCTGAGTTACAACTGACGCCTCCAAACGGCGTTGGGCTCGTCCGGACGGCTGACGGACAAGCACTCTTTTGAGTCTCGAGTCTCGAGTCTCAAATTGGTAGATATCAGATAAACAGACCATGGATAATAAGGGGGAGGCCCATCCCGGACAAGATTTCCTATTCGAGAACCCGTCATCGCGAAGTGCGTGGAGCAATGCAAACATTAGAATGCAGCTGGGGTTGCGCCTGCAACGTATCGTGTAATGTGTGTGTAGTATGTCATCATTTTGTTTTCTGTAACCTTTTTAAAACACGGGGAACAGATGGTATCATCAGCAAATGGCCTCTCACGACTGAACTGGAGTTGTGGTACATATGTATACGAAACTCTGCCTACCCTGTTGCGCATCACGTGCATCGCCGGAGCGCAGCGCCAACGCCGCCGTAACTGAACCGATTCCACTGGCAATTCCATTGGCAGCGCCGCAGGCCCGCAGCAGGACTTCCGGCCCAACTGCTCTTCCGAAGCGGCGCGAGGTTCCCCCCATCGGCCTTCCGCTATTTGTATGTACCTAAAATGTAAATATACGGAGTAATCCCTCTGCTATTTTTCCTTCTTCGAAACCGGTGGCAGGGTTGCCGATTGCACCACAGCTGCTGCCACCACTCGGAAACAGACCGTCGCCATCCAGGAATGCCCGCACCTACAACTCCCTGAAGTCATGATTCATGACAAGACCCCGTTCTTCGTCTGCGCCCAATGAAGCCAGTCCAGCAGCGATGGTCTATCTCTCTGACTATCATCCTTCTCTATATTTATCTGAAATTTTGTACTTTCTCATTGTAGACATGAAGAAACGAAGATACTCATGAATTCATGGCAAGGGAAAGAACATCCGTATCGAGTCTTATTCATCCAGGCCAGTTCTTAGCCACAGTACCGCGGGCTGCTGTAACTCGCCGTCGCTCTTACAAACGAGCTAGTTCCAGAATCCACGCTTTGCGCCTTTGAACCACATGAAAACTCAAACATGTGTAGTGTCCGAGAATAAGAAGGTGAAAAGAATATGTATGTACCTATTGAAATTGTTAATACATACCCGAAATTAGTTCTAGCTCCCGCGCCCCCGTTTGGCCCCTCCCGGCTCACTCCTAATTATGTATACGTACATACGGAGTACTCCTTTCGCTCATCTTCCCGGCATCGGCCTCACACGGATCACTACATACCAACGGAGTAAATATGCCATGAAACGTGGCCGTGGGCCGGGCTCAGCCGAGACGCCTTCTTTGTTTCGATTTATAGTCTTCTCTTTGTGCAGATTTTTCTTCAACTACCTACTGAAATGAGCGAGATTCATCGGCTTGTATGCTGTCAGGACGGGCTAAGCAAGCGCAACATCGAAACACGACGCAGGAAATGGCACAGGATCCCGAAAGGGCTTCGCATGACGAGTCTAATACTCATGTCGTCCGACCGCCACCGTCGTCATCATCATCATCGTCATTTCCGTCCTCCACCAGCACCTTGACTGGCACCAGCGCCAGCATCAACGGACCGCATCTCGAGCCCATCAGAACAGTCGCCTCCCACTGCCTCACGTCCAATGTTGAAACCGACGCCGAGCGCATGGCTCGTGAGCCCGTTGCCTACATCCGCACAGACACAAGCATCGGCAGCATCGCCTCGCGACAGCCCGAGTTCGAGGTGGACTTTTCGGACAATGACCCGGAAAATCCCTTGAATTGGGCGCTGTGGTACCGATGCTGGGTCATTTTCTGCGTCTCCTTCGCGACATGGGCTGCCACATTGTATAGCACGAGCTATACGTCGTCGATGTCTGGTCTCATGGCGGAGTTTGGCGCGTCCAAGACGCTTGTCACGTTAGGCATGACGACGTATCTACTGGGTCTGGCGGCCGGGAGCTTGGTGGTTGCGCCGCTGAGTGAGCTCTATGGTCGTCAGAAGGTGTATATGGTGTGTTTGCTGTTGTGGGCAGTCCTCATTGTGCCTTGCGGACTTGCGAAGTCCCTGACGACGATCATCGTTGTTCGATTTATCGGGTTGGTGTAGTTGTGCTTTTGTTCTCTTTGCATTCTCTGTGTACTGTCACCTTCTCATGTTGTCGCGTATCTGTCACAGTCTCTCCTTCTTCCAAATTAAGCTTTGTTTTCCACCCTTCCTCTCACCAAGACACTAACAATATAACAGCGCATTCTTCGGCGCCGTCATGATCTCCAATGCGCCTGGAACTGTCGTCGACGTCTCCAACCCAGACTACCTCGCCAGGAGCCTGTCTCTCTTTGCTTTGGCCCCTCTCAACGGACCTGTCACGGGCCCCATCATCGGCGGCTTCGTCTTCCAGTACCTCGGCTGGCGGTGGACCAATTGGATCGTACTCATCATAGCCGGGCTCGCCATTTCTCTCATGCTGACCGTTCGGGAGACGTATGCGCCCAAGATTCTGCAGCGCAAGGCTGCGCGGATGAGGAAGCAGACGGATGATGCCCGGTACTGGTGTCGTTATGACCAGAAGGTGTCTACGGCGCGCTTGCTCAAGGTGAATCTTAGTCGACCGTTCGTGCTCTTCGTAACGGAGCCGATCTTGTGGTTTATGAATTTCTGGTAAGATCCTGTCTGTAGGCTTGGTGGTCCGATCATACACATATGTATATGTATATGCGTTGAAGCCACAAGCAAGAAAATTCGTCACTTGCCGATTACTTACCCTCTCTCTCTAGGATCTCCGTTGTGTATGGCATCCTCTATCTCTGCTTCATAGCATACCCCGTCGTCTTTTCACAGCACCGCGGCTGGGCCCCCGGCGCCTCCAGCCTCTCCTTCATCGGCATCGGCATCGGCACCCTCACGGCCATCGTAGCTGAGCCGCTCTTCCGGCGCATCATCCACGCTCAGCCCATGGATCCCACCACAGGCAAGCCATATCCCGAGGCGCAGGCCTCTATCATGGCCATCGGCGCCATCTCCACCGCCATCGGCCAGCTTGGCTTCGCGTGGACCTGCCTCCCATCAACGATCCACTGGGCCGTACCCATCGCGTTTGGAATCCCCTTTGGCGGCGGTAACACCATCAGCTTCATCTATGGGTCCAATTACCTCGCTGGAGCGTATGGCATCTACGCCGCGAGTGCCCTCGCCGGCAACGCCGTCATCAGGAGCATCTTTGGCGGTACGCTGCCGCTTGCGGGGCCCAAGATGTATTCTGTGCTCTCACCGCAGTGGGCGGGAACGGTGCTCGGTCTGCTCGAGGTGGCCCTCATTCCGATTCCATTTGTGTTTTGGCGGTATGGCGGCCGTATTCGCGCTAGGAGCAAGACTATTCGGCAGCTTCGGGAGTATCAGGAGCACCTCGATGCGAAGAGAGCCGATGGGCTGGCCAGGACGGAGAGGAGAGCGCGGCGGGCTCGTGCTGCTGCGATGGAGACTGACGCGGTTGATGGGGGAAAGTTAGGTGGAGAAAAGTCATGACCGGCTCATGAGGTTTGTATGGGTACAGTCTACAGATACATAGATGGCGTTTTGTTAGGTATGTATGTAGCGTTTATTGGGAACAGGGTTGTCCACTGGCTTTCATTTGGTCCGATGGCCGGCCACGGCAGATACATATGTTTACTTTACGAGGGAAGGTCATGTGTGAGTACAATGGAAAGTGTGTATGAATGGGATTGAGGGCTTTGCATGAATAGAATGGAAGATTGTGTAGAGATACAATAGAAGGTTATCTAGACTTAAACAGCGCATCTCAAGGAATTTATGCAAGAAGAGTGGGCGTGGTTGACTGCATTACCCCTTTCTTTCACACCGAGATCCCCCATACTTTGCGATCTGAAGTATGTACATAATATGGTGACGCCGTGGGCGAAGGGGCGAACCCTAAGCATAGAGATCTCGCTTTTAACGGCTACTTCTCGAGAGCCATCGAGAGCCGATCATTTCGCCAAGCTTTTCATGACTAAGCACATCCAGATTTGAGAGCCTTCGGGATGTAGAATTGGAAAGTGTGTACGCGAGTCAACGTGACGCGAGATATCTACTCCACATGAGGATAGATAGGTAGGTAGGTACCTAGGTCTTTCAGTCGATTTGGCATGAAAATCGCATAAACCAGATTCATCGATTCAGCAATGGAAACACACAGTAACGCAATGATGCAAACCACAAAAGAAGAAGAAAAACTTGCATTCGCACAAAAGGCGAAACGTTAGGAGCGAAGGAGCGCCAAAAACTTAACGCCAATCTCTTTGTAGGAAAAGCCCGATGCGGGGGTCGAACCCGCAACCTTGAGATTTCGCGCATTTGTAAGAGTCTCACGCTCTACCGATTGAGCTAACCGGGCACCGAATCCTCGATGCGATGTTGAAGGCCCGAGAACTATTAGGCTATATATAGTTTTACTCAAAATTAGGGTCGTCTTCCTCGGAATCTTGGATGCAGCGACGATTTGCATCACATCAGGATGGCCATACCTAGTTCTCTCCTGAGTTGGACGTTGCGTTGATGCAGAAATGGGAACATAAAATTTCACGGACTTGATTGGCCGAGGCTACAGTGCATGGTACTTGTGTACATCATCATCGACTTATCAAGAGAACAACCTCTGTTTTTGCTGGCGTATTTTGTTTGATATATAGGTACTTTGAGCTCTTACGCGAGCGTCCACTTATTGGTCGCTTTATGTAGATCATTTGAAGCTGACTGGCGCATTTATGATCATTCGAATAACTAATCAGAGCTCTCAGTAAACAAAGCATAAGTCGCCCAGCGGTCTCAATCGCAATCGTGATCATAACACAAATTTAGTGATTACATATCAGTTCAATTTGAAACATTTGTCTGACCGGCGATTGCGAAGATATCAATCATCATAAGTACAGAAGCCCATGATTACCTAGCATGACATCCTCGTCGATATCCATCCACCGCATTGCACCTCCATCAGACTAATCTCATCCCTATTGATTTAGGTTAGTGAACTGCCAAGTCTCTCTGAGGCACCTGAGTCCCCTATCCTCCAGAGCAGCCCCAGGCCTAGAACCCACCAAGTTCTTGTAGATGGCCGCCTTGTGAAACTGGACACCTTGAGTCTCGACTCAAGTGATTAATTGTACGTATGTACTCTTCGACTGTGTGCTGCGGGGTCAGTACACGAATAAATGCAGCGCCTGCACCTCACAATACAGAATTACAGAATCACATAAGAAGCGTTGATGACAAGTCATAGCAACGTACCAAGCCCACAATCCCATGTGTTTAAAGGTCAAGTGGTGTCTCTCAAGACAAGTTTTCGCATCATTTTGCCATTTGCAGAATAGTAAACAATTATGTAAGTTCAACTTTTCGCATTATCTTTTTCCATGCACTTCTGTTCACTTCTCTTGCCTTCCCCTGCCTTCCGCGTTCCACTTCAACCTGACGTCCCGTCCCGACCCTATCTTGCCTTGTGATGCAATTATGTAAAGACACACCCTATCCACCGTCTGCGTGTTTGTGAGTCAACCCAAAATGAGTACACAGCCTCTCGAGAATCACCAAAGGGGCAAACGCCAAGACACCTAGACAGAAGGCGAGAGATTCATCCTCGAGTCCGCAGGCAGTCGGTGAAAACCAGCCGTAAGCGACAACGCTCCGCATTTTTATTCCAAAAGAGAACCCTTCTAAAAACCGCCCGAAGCACAAATATTATGCGAGCGCACGCGCGTATCCAGCGTGAATCGGGTCCCATCCATTCAAGGCTTCCATGTCATGCAGACGGGTTCGCTTCCCAGTCACCCGTAAATAATCTCCCTCTTTCACAACGAAACCCTCCTGTTTATTTCCCTCGTCTTCTCGGCTGATTCTAACGCCATCAACTGGCCCGACGGGTAGATTCGCAACTCTCGTGTACAATGCAAACTCAAACGACGCTGCCAACAAGCAAGACTTCCTGTATTCATAGGAGAAACAGAAATTTAGTTGTCTTTTTCCAACGTCGCGAGCTCCCTCAGCACGGCATTCTTAGTGCTCATCTTCTTGATCTGTGTGTCCTCGAGCTTTTCGCCACCAGCGAGTCGCATCTCCAGATCCTCAATGGCACGAATCTTTTTCTGAAGACTGCGGACCTTCTTGGCGTTGGCGATCTGGGCGGCGGCCAGAGCGGCCACCTGGGCGGCATCCACAACAGGAGGAGGGACAGCTACAACGGTCGGCTGAGCAGCACCATTACTGTGGTTGGCATTTCCGTTAGAGCGCTGACCATGTTGAGTGTTGCTGCGGCTGCGGCTGCCTGTGTTGTTTTGCGATCTGCTTCGATGATCACGGCCGTTGCCATTAGCAGGGCCTCGTCTTTCAGGGCTTCGTCCGGTGGTACTATTGCCATTGCCGCTGCTGTTATCGTACGGGGTAAGGGTCGCACCGCCATTGGGCTCGGCCTCGAGACGAGCATCCTGGTTGTTGTTCTTCTTCCCTCGCTTCTTCTTGGTCTTCTTGTTGCCATCTTCTCCGACCGGTTCGGCCCCAGGCACGCTTCTGGGTCCAGTAGACGGCTCAGCCGGCTCGGCCCCAGGCACACCGCGGCGGGCTCGGCCAAAGCCATTGGGTCCGACATTCTGTGTACCGTTACTCACCACATGAGCAGCACCACCTTCGTCCTCACGCTTGAAGTGGAGGGGCGTGGCGAGACCACGAGCCCCAGGCGGGCGATAGGCTCCGGCGGGTTTGCTCGGTGTCTTCACCGTACCCAGGTACGTCGTGGCCGACGCATGAGGCGTGGGCACAGGATTGAGCGGATCTCCGCCGGCCACGTTCTCAGGGGCCGCAGGACGCCACACGACGTTGTACAACTCCACCATGTCTTCATTGTACATGATGCTACCACCAACGTGCCACAGTTTTACTCCGTTGTCGACTCGGAGACGAGGGGACGTTGTCGCCGTCAAGAGGTATCGGCTATCAGGGCTCCACTCGCACACACTGGGATTGCCGCTTTCAATGGTGCAAACTTTGCGGTAGTCCTTCTCGAGGTCGAAAATGTCAATCTGGCCGGCCAAGTTGCCAAAGCCGGCAACGAGAACAAAGCGGGCGCTGGGCGCGAACGTAATGGTATTGCGTGGCCCAAGAGGGAACGAGTGCTTCGCGACAGCCCGATCATTGAAGATTGTGGCCTTAGCTGGCATGTAGCCGTACACCACTCCGAACTCTCGCGAGTTGGGCGACCACGATACGTCGTGAATGGGGCCCTCCTTGTCAAGAGTCACGCGCGCATCGAATGCTCCATTGGTGCTGAGAAGATACAGTGTAGTCTCACCGTAGTAGCTTTTCCCAGATCTATCGACGTCCGTCTGCGCAAGGACAAGCAGGGAAGACCCGCGCTTGTTCCACTTGAATTGAACCTTGTCGCCCTTAAAAAAAGTCTTTTGCGAAATGGGATTTTGAAACAAGGGGACGTTGAACACCTTGACAGCTGCTGGTTGACCCTGTAATCCGAAGAAGGATCCCGTCAGTAAACAGTAGATCGTGACCCATCTTAAAATTTGTGTGTTGCGTGGTTATGCACGGGGCCCAAAAGATGATTGCATTCCGAGCAAAAGGAACTGTGTTGATCTGGCTTACCTTTTTCTCTGGGATGAACACAGCCACAGCATGATTCTGGCTTCCAGGCGCCAGTGCAAAGCTGGCCGCACCCTCGACCCTCAACTTGTTCCAGACAGTAACAAGGTCGTGGCTCTCGAAAAATTGAACCTCGTTGGTGACCAGTCGTGCGCAGTACTTCTCGTCAGCAGTGTATTGGAGGTTCCAGCCACCCTGTTGCTTTTGTACATATCGGCCGATGGGCTGCTTGTCGCCGCCAGCGACGCCCTCTTCCACAGTGCGCCAGACTTTGAGGTTTTTGGTGGCATCTCCGGCCTCATCCTTTCCAGGCCGTTCCCACGTGATGACAAAGGTGCCACACGGCGAAAAACCGAGCTCGTAGACATTGATGAGGGGTAGCACCAGCACGACGCTGCCGGCAGAAGTGTCGACAACGGTGACGAATTCGGGAGTCGCCCAGCCGAAAAAGCGGCCACAGGGCGAGTAAGCGCTGCAGCGTAAGTTTCCCTCGGGTTTCGCGAAACCAGCGAGGGGTTGGTAGACCGGGGCGGCATCAAAGATGCCAATGGTCTTCTGCGTTCGATACGCAAACTGCAAAGGAGACGCCATGGCTAGTCAAAGTCACAGGGTCTCGAATCGTTTTTTGAATTTTGCAGTCAACCTGGGATGCCTGTGAGCTGAGTATACTATCGTTGTATGCTCGTGCAAATGCAAATGTCTTGCTGTTGTGCCCTGATGATCTTTCTTGTCGGTTTTCCGCGTTTATTTATCGTGGCGATAGGAGAGCGGCTGAGTTGTAGTTACTCGCGTGTGCGGCAATTCACTTCTCGAACAGACCTAAAAGAACAATGAGTTGACGACCTCACTCGTTTTTTTGTCGCTTCTTTGTTCCGGTTCGTATGAAGAGCGGGGCAGGCACGACGTCGACAGCACCCAGAACCAGAAATGAGCTTCAGGTCCGGAGGCAGCGAAACGGAGGATGCAAGGGCCAATTCAAAGCAGACTTGCTCTGGATGATCTTTGCATGTCCTGATGAAGGGACGACGGCAACGACAGCAATGAGCCGGTCGAGGGGCGGTTTCTTCTGAAACAGAGCGACCCGTGTGAAAACGGCGACCGTGTCGATGGCCAGACAGGCAGATGCAACACGGAAGTGAAGAAGATAAATGGGATGAACAGACGTACAGATGAACAGGGAGACGAGAGTATAGACAGAAGTGGCAAGCACCCAGGAGGGCGGAAATCGGCGGCGTCGGCGGCGATGCCGTTGTGCTGTCGGGCTGGGGATGGAGGGAAGAAGGAGGGCAAAGCGGAAGAAGCACAAAGGGCGGGCAGATGCTTTTCACGTCGACGCTCGGCTCGTGTTTTTTCTTGCACCAACCCGTCGTGTGGCGGGTGAACCCCCCTGTCAGCTAGCTTGTCAGCGGTCCTAGTGACCCCGCGACGCCGCTGCAACCTGCAAGGCCCTGTCACCTGTAGGCTGTGAGCGCTGATGAGGGCCCTGTGAGGGGCACTGCCACACTATGTACCTTTATGTACCTAAGGTATGTACATACAGTACCTACATACATACCTGGTAACATACCTACCTACGGAGTACATTAGGTACAGGCTACAGCCCCTCGGTCGGGAGTTCAAAGCGCCAAATCGGGTCCATTTTGGACAATCAACAACGCAATGACTTCATTCAGACGTATTGAGACCATTCTGCATGCTGAGCAAACACCTTCAAATACTAAATACATAGTTTTGATAGATAGATAGATAGAT